AGACAAGAGCAAAAAAGTATTGTGTGGAAGCAAGTTATATAATGTGTGAGACCTACAAGGCATACTTTAGTGAGTCGATCGGGGACCAAGACAAATCTTGGACACCACATTTCACATGTGAGTATTGCAAGAAAAAACTTGAAGGTAAACTGAACAGTTGCTTTTTGCTTAGATGTGTTTAAATTTATTTTCATAAATTTTAATGCTTTAGATCTAGTTTATTTCAAGGTATTGTAATTTTTAAAGTTTTGTCATAAGTTGTGTATTGTAGGTAAATGCGTTCCATTTTGAAATTTCCTGTCCTCAAATTATTTTAATTCTTATGTATTATTATGTACTATGTTTCAGTTGGTACAGAGGAGAGAAGCAAGTTATGAAGTTTGCTATCCCGTGATATTGGCGGGAGCCGATGGACCACTTTAGCAACTGCTACTTCTGCATGGTAAACCCAAAAAATCATTGCACTGGCAAAAGTGCCCCTCAAATTGTTTATCAGTACATACCTTCTTCCATCGCCCCAGTACCACACAGCCTCAATCTGCCTTTTCCGACTTCTTTTAGGTGGCATTGGTTTCTTCAGGACATAGCAGCAAGTCAGATAGCGAGGCAGATACTGGAGATATGGACTACGATTCTACAGATGATGTTGGGGATGGAAAGCCATATTCCCTTATCAGATTGACATGAACAATTTAATTTGGGACCTCGGGCTTACAAAATTGAATGCTGAGCTTCTGATATCCAGGCTCAAACAGTAAAATTTGGTTTTTGATAGCGTCCAAGTCGCGAATCAGAGGAAGCGGCATCAAATATTCTCTAACTAAATCTAGAAATTTTAAACATTTATTAAACTTTTTGAGTGGTTTCTTACTGTGCTTGTGTTTTACTTGTGCAACTTTTGTTTTTATCTGATCATAATGACAAAAATGAAAAAAAAATCGTTCTATTTTCACAAAAAAAACTAATTTGCTTCGTGTGGGATTGATGCCAAGCGTGCAACTTGCTTTTGCAATATTTGACCACTTCTGCAGCTATATAAAGTTCTTTTTCAGATAAAACTGATACCTCAAGCTAAAGTTATTAAATATATGCTGGACATGACAACAGTAACAGTAAAGAAAAATACAACAGTTTATGGATTAGAAATGCAGCTGTTTTTGGTGACATGAAATCTTTCTTTTTAAGGAATTGAATTAAAGAATGATTGAATTAAAGATTTTTGAATTAAAGAATTTTGAATTAAAGAATTTAAAGATTGAATTAAAGAATGTCAATCATCTTCAGTTTCAAGCTCATAAAAATTTATAAGTAAGCAAACATCGGAAGCTATGGCAACCACATTAAAATGTGAAGCCTTACTTATTAATGATTTAATTCAAAAAAGATATCAATACTTTTTAACTATCTGTTTAAGAATTTTAAAGTATCCCTAAATGAGTGATGGCAAAGTTTTAATTGATCTTTTAATTGATCGGCTGAATAGTGTTATTGAGTAAGGAAATGATTGACAGAAGACTTGAAAAGTTGAAGGTTGTATGAGTCAGGATAATATGAAGATGGGAGCGAGTTCCAAAAGGTTAAAGTGCAGGAAAAAAACTAAACAAATAAAAGTTTTTAGAGCATGCAGGCACACAGTGATACAGTGAGAGAATTAGACTTTGTTTATAATGAGTCAAGCAAGAATGAGTTTTAGTTGTAGAAAAGAGAGAGAGGTGCAACTTTATGACAATAGGGAAGAGGCTCAAGCTTAGCAAATAGAGGGGGTCCGGCTACATTTACAATGTGTTTTTGGACCTTTTCTAGAAGAGAAAGAGTATCATTAGAAGAACCAGCCCAAATATGAAAACAGTATTCCATACAAAAATAAATAATTGATTTGTAGATGTAGATAATGGAATCAGGAGAGAGAAAATGGCAAGCATGATAAAGGGAAGCAACCTTAGCAGATGCTAATACAGCAATTAAGACCCAGAGAGCTGTGCTTTAATAACTTGTTATGTGGTTTTATTTAAAGTTTAGTAAAAAAGATGGAAAAATTGGAACGTCTTTATCAAAATACAGATGTCAGATACAATGCAAATATCATTAAAACATTTGGAATAAACAAGTGCTTATCAGAGATTTGTTATATATTTTATTTTATTTATTAAAAGTTTGTAACTTAAACCCAGATAAAATTTATAATTGTAACTTATAAAATTTATAATTAAAACTTATAATAGTATTATACTCTTATAATTTAAAAGTTATAATGGCATTATTACTATTATAACTTTTAATATATATATACTATATATATATATGTATATGTATATATATTATATATATATATATATATATATATATATATATATATATATATATATATATATATATATATATATATATATATATATATATATATATATATATATATATATATATATATATATATATATATATATATATATATATATATATATATATATAGAGTTGCAACCCCAAAAAAAAACGGTGTTTTTTTTAAAAAAAACACGTTTTTTTTTGCAAAAAAAACAGACTGGTTCTAAAAACATGTTTTTTATAGTTTTTTTTGCTTTTTTTTAGTATTCATTAAATTTTAGATAATAATAATACTTGAAACAGTTCCAGTGCCCTTAAACCTACAAAATACAAATGTTTTCTATTTAATAAAATGCATATTAACTTATATAATAGCTGTTACAAACTAATCACCAATATTAAAAAAAAACAGTATTAAATATTTAAAAAAGTAATTTTTTAAATAAATCTCAAAAAAACTATACTATTAGCTACTAGTTGATTGTAAGTATAATACTACTGAATGAAGGAAATAAAAATGTTATTTTAGCAGTGTTATTTCATTCATAAAAATGAATGAAATAACACTGCATTGCAAAATACAAAAATGAACCAACTGTTAAATAAAATTTACTTTAATGTTTTATTTACTTTTGTATATTACTTTTTTAAATTTTTAATATTTAATTTCTTTATTTTATTTTAAATTGCAATTAGATAGCTAAAATTTTATTTATTCAAACAATATTCAAGTAAATAAAAATAACACAATGATTAAATTTGTCTAATGAAAAAACATTTATATTAAACAATTTGTAATCTATTAATTATTTTTAATTAAAAAAAAAAAAAGAAATTTAAAAAAAAGAAAGAAATGTTTTGTAGCTACATTGTTCAATGAGGCACCTTTAGAATCTGGAGGTTCTAAAATTCAACAAGTTATATGAAAATTTTGCAGCTTAAAGCTATCAAAAAATGGCACTCGAATGACTGAGTACATTGCAAAATGTATAAAATGTGGCGATCAAATAAAAAACAAATATTTGAACGATATTCCTTTTAAACAGAAGAAAGTTCAAACTGAACTAATGATGGAAGAAGATATTCCTGAAAACTTACCTATTCAAGATATGAAAAAAGAGAAAAAAATATGTTTATCATCTGCTATTCCACAAGTTCCAATTGAGTCTTTCTTTCCAACACCAAGCTGTTTTGGAAACCAAAGTAGGTCTACAACCCCTAAGTTTGGAGACTGTAAGGCAAATAAAACCAAATCAGATAAGCCTCCCTTAAAACGATTGTATTCTTCAACAAGAGTTCCATTCACAACTCAGAAAAATAAAACTGCATCCTACATTTTAGGAGAGTACAAGAGTTTAGAGTCAGAGTTATCAAGCGACTCTGAAGAATACGGATTTGACTTTACAATAGAAGACCTTAATGAACAAGAAAGCCAGAATACAGAATCTGTTATTAATTAAAAATAAATCTTTTAAATGATGTACTATATATTTACCATATATCATGTTATTAATATATATTATATTACATTTATAATAAAAATAAAAATTAAATAAAAGTAAAAAATTTTTTTTTTATCTAAAAAACAAAAAAAACCATAAAAAACACAAAAAACACAAAAAAAACATGTTTTTTTTGCAAAAAAAACACAATTAAAAAAAAAACAGTTTTTTTTGCAACTCTATATATATATATATATATATATATATATATATATATATATATATATATATATATATATATATATATATATATATATATATATATATATATATATATATATATATATATATATATATATATATATATATATATATATATATATATATATATATATATGTATATATATATATATATATATATATATATATATATATATATATATATATATATATATATAATGTTAAAAGTTATAATAGTATATAGATCTATGTTAAAGGTTGTAATAGTATAATAGTATATATGAATCAGTGAATGTTAAAAGGGTGGAAGTCCAACTATGTAAACTTTTGGAAAACTAAAAAAAAACTGCATTTTTGATTGAGGCTGTGTGGTACTGTGGCGATGGAAGAAATTATGTCCTGATAAACAATTTCAGGGGCACTTTTGCCAGTGCGACGAATTTTTGGGTTTACCATGCAGAAGTAGCAGTTGATTTAGTGGTCCGTCGGCTCCCGCCAATATCACAGGATAGCAAACTTCATAACTCATTTCTCTCCTCTGTACCAACTGTAACATAGCACATAATAATACATAAGAATTACTACCCTTGTAGTAAATTTTTGTTTATGGTTTAATAACTTTATTTTGAAGAGGATAACATTTTTCATCTTCAAAAAACAAATTATTAAACCATTAACAAAAATTTACTACAGGGGAAAATGCAGTTTTTTAAGTTTCACAAAAGTTAACATTATTAGACTTCTGCCCTTTTAACATTCACCAATTCATATATACGTTAAAAGCTGAAATAGTATAATCATTAGATACAAAATATTATAAAAGTATGACATTTTATATTTTATAGTATATATCTCAGTTAATCTTAGTTTTTTTAAATACAAATGTTATCTTTATATTTGTGAATATTTTTGTTGGATACTTTGATACAACTTTGTATAAAATATTCACAAAATCTTATCATATGAAACAAATAGAAAAAATGATTACTTTTTTAGTTTTTTGTTTGATGAACTTGCAAAGTTAAATGTGACTAACAACTCAAAAGAACAAATTCTTGAAACTTTGGAAAAAATGAGTGGAGTCCTGGCATCTACAAGTAAGTTTTCTTTTTAGAGATCTGATTGACAAGAAATATTCATTTCATAAAATACTACAGTGCGGATGCACCATTTTTTGATGTTTGAGATACCTAACTTCCTGTTAGACATGGAGCAAACTCCAAAAATTTATATGTTTATACTTTATCAAATAAGGATGCTTTGCAAAAAGCTGCAATGAATGGAGCCTGGGAACAAAAAAGCCCTAAAATTTTAGCAACACCTGGCATAAACGTGAGAGCAACAAGTTGATAAAATAATTTTTATATGATTTTTAACTAAATCTATATTCATCGATAAATTTTAAATTCACACAAAAATCTTTAAGGCCATAAAAAATTTGAAGTTTGCTCCATGCCAGATTTGGAGCAAACTTATATAAAATAAATTTAAATCAGTAAATAACTTCAAACTTTTAATCTGCTAATACTGCATACTTAATACTGTAACCACAAAATACTTTTCTGTTAACCTTTAGTGCTTTGTTTAATTTCAAATAAATATTTTTGAATATTTTAATTCTTCGGTTGTAGCTATATTTGAATTTAATTAGGTTAAAAACTTCTTTTAATTTGTTTAAAAACTTATATATTATATTAAAATTTTGTTTCTTATATTATTACTGTAATTTAAAAATTACAATAATAATGGGTTTAAATATAGACATTAAATACATCATGACACAAATATTAAATACATCATGACAACTATATTAAATACATCATTGGGTTACATGACTTGAGTCATCATAATCCGATGATCTATTTAGTATTTGATTTTTAATATCTTTTTTTACTTTAATTTTACAAAATTTTGTTACTCTAAATAGATTTGACACTTTAATTAATCATTAGGTTGAGTTAAATGAGTATTGTTTAAGTTTTTCTCAATAACAACCTTGTTATACTTTCTTTTCTACTAATTTTTAAAAATATGTTCAGTTGTTAAAAAGCTATAAGATGCTTGTAATCTCTTTGCATATTGTATGCTAGGGAATAAGCATTAATGCCAAAATACTAATATTAAACAAAATTATAGTTCAAAGCAAAGGGCACAGTGTCACGAAATGGTCATCAACCTTAACCTCATGTCCCGAGAAAACCCTTTGGTGGGATGATAGCCCACATATAGTAGATCACTTAGATATAAATTTGGAAATCGAACTATGACGTCCGAGAGAGATATTTTAGTTTTTATTTTCTTCAATTCTGGCATATCAAAATTTAAACGAGATGATAGGAATTTGGCATTTTTTCAGTATTTATAGAGCAAAAAGTTAATTTTCCCATATATTTCCATAAGACATATAAACAAAAACATATTTTACAATAAAATTGATCCTTTTTATTCTAAAATGAATGTTTGCTGTTGAAATCAATCCCACAATTCAGAAGCTTTGATTCATATTCTGGATGGTTTCTTGCCCGTTTGTAACGCTGCCAATGGGAACTGAAGTTGTGATGAAGAGATTCTGTAGCTTGCTCTGAGAAAATGCCAAGACTATAATTGTGTCTAAGGATGAAATCCTTCAGGTGGAAAAACACCGCATGTACTTTGGGAGTGACTGAAGTATTTGGCAACTTCAGGTACAACTCCTGAAACTGTAAAATTTTTTGTTCAAAATCGGGGCTCAAGTGATTTCTAAAGCAAGCATTCACCACTGAGTCAAATGTCTCAATGTTTCAACAAATGGCACAGCAAGAAAAAATGAGCTTAGCTCAGCTAAACTTTGAAGGCAATCAGTGTTTTTCAAGAGCTTGCGGCAGTCATTTCCTGCAAATTGGCCACCATGAAAAGACTGCTCTTGAATATGAAGGGCTGCTGGCCATTCCTTTGCTGCGGGCCAAATCTGGCAGAAACTTTTGTAGAGATGGTTAACGACTCCAAGAAGCAGATGAAGTTCCATGGGAGGAATGATGTCCAAAATCAGTGTGGCGTCTGGCAGAGTCATTATGGGTTCATGGATGACGTTTTTGAAGTCTTTTGCTCTCCTTGCATTGGCACCACTGCTTTGAAACTGCAGAAAGTTTTCTCGAATTGAACCAAGTGTTCTGAGACTTCCAGAGCGACTCAAATCTTTCGATTCTGCATCACACCATGAACAAAGATGTGCACATGCATGGGACTGAAGACCACAAACAAGATTGGCAACTTTCATGTCACAAGAGATTATGTAGGAAAGTTTGTGAAGTTGAAGAGAAGAAATTATGCTTTTCAAGTTGTCATAACTCTCTGGCAGATCTTCTGAAATTGCCACCAGAAGTTGCCGTTTGGCTCCTGTGTCTTTAAGCCCTCATTTTGGTGGTGGAGAATTTGAATCTGTGTTTCTGGCAATGATTCCAAGAGATACTTTCAAAAACCCACCACCTCCATCAATGCCAATCTTCATCAGCGGATCTCCTGAAACATTCCTTACTTTGATAACGTGATTTGCAAGACTTCCTACATCTGGGCAAAAAACAAGCAGTCGTGAAGGGTGCTGGTCATCATTCTTTGTAGAATCTCGTATGGCCTTGGTCTCAAAATGTTCAGAAAGAGATTTCCCGAAACTGTCGAATTTTTCTCTGAAATTTTTTTCTACAATCCGGAGAGGTGTAGCTTGGTTCAAAGATGATGCCAATTTGGACATGCCACGATTTGACAATCTAGTTCCAATATGGACTCCAACCATGTCTTGTGCCGTGAGCTTGGGCACAGCAGGAAACAATTCTCTTGCGCTTGATGGTCCTAAAGAACATTTAATGGCCGAGGTTAAAATTTTCTACATTTACATTTTAAAAGAAATTTATAAGTGGTTTATGCTTAAATCTATATTGCTTTACCTGGAACAACGGGAAAACGATTTCCTCCAAGTGGTTGACTTAGCTGAACAGTGCCATGAGATGATGAAGTTTTATTAGCAATTGTTAATGACGCTACCCTCTCTGCCGCAATGCGATCCCTCAAAGCAACTTCCACTAAATTTTGCCTTAATGTTCCTGTTGTGCAATTGTGAGACAATCCACGATCAATCACATAGAAGCAATCAGAGCACCTTTTTTCAATGCTTGGATTTTCTTTGGGTTTCGGTGGTTCCAAAGGATGACGCTGATTCATATTTGTCCTTGCAGTTTGACAAATCAAACAATTACAAGGAATATTTGTTGCAGCACGCTGAACTGAGATGGTGCTGAAATCAAAGAGCCTTGGGATAGGTGCATCCTCCCCTTCTCGTCTGAGAATAGCCACACGACATCTTTCACAAATTCCACAAGGGATTTGAAAGTTTCAAAAATCAAACTCAATTTTGAGGACTGTGGGAATTTTCTCCACTAAAAAACTTGTGATTTCTCGATTTGCCTTCTTCAAACATAGGAAACAAACACATTTTTGGTTTTCTTCATGAGTTTTAGCTTTGTTAGGCATTTTATCAAACTTTCAATGTGTCTTATTTGAAAAAAACTGAATGTGCACCCTTTTCCCGGAGTTAGCAAAATTGAAAAACAAAAAAAAATAATAATGATTTCAAAAAACCTGCTCCAATTAGTTATATAATGTCTTAAATAGTACTCTAAGCAACGTAACAACAAAAATGCTGTAAAAATGCCAAATTCCTATCATCTCATTTAAATTTTGATATGCCAGAATTGAAGAAAATAAAAACTAAAATATCTCTCTCGGACGTCATAGTTCGATTTCCAAATTTATATCTAAGTGATCTACTATATGTGGGCTATCATCCCACCAAAGGGTTTTCTCGGGACATGAGGTTAAGGTTGATGGCCATTTCGTGACACTGTGAGGGATAAGCTTTGTTGCTAAAATAACAGTATTTAACAAAATAACAGTTCAAAGCATTGTGATAATCTTTATTGCCAAAATAACAGTTCAAAAGTATTAAAGATAGTCTAAGCAAAAGTAGACAAAAACATAACAAATTAAATGTTTGACATTTTTAATATCATAATTGTTTAAATCATTAACTCCTTCTCAATCTTTCTATGAGATTTACTGCTTAAATATACTTTATTTTTACTGCTTAAATATACTTTATTTTTACTGCTTAAATATACTTTATTTTTACTGCTTAAATATACTTTATTTTTACTGCTTAAATATACTTTATTTTTACTGCTTAAATATACTTTATTTTTACTGCTTAAATATACTTTATTTTTAAGTAATGCGATTTTGACACAAACTTTTGAAATTCTCTTTGTGTAGCCAAAATAAAAATGTTGTAGTAGTGTTGTGGTAGAATGTTTGCTTTGTAATAAATTCTAACCCTAACATATCGCTCGTGGTACTAAGCTCAACTTGTTACTTCACATAACAGCATCAAGGGTTGTGATTAAAGGTAGTCTTATTGAGTTAAGATAGGGTTAAATAGCATTTTAAAAAAAAGTCTTTTTGACTTTAGTAACTCTCTTAGCAACTACAGTCTTTAACAACTACAGCTTTGGAGTGATGAACACAGTTAAAAAATAATATAAAACTTCAAGTCTCAAAGTTATTAATCCAGTTTTTATATATTTTGTTCCAAAATTGGGTATAAATTTTTAATATAAGCCTTATGATTTATGTTTTCAACTTTATTTCTTAGAGGTTTCTGATTTATATTACAGAAAGAAAAAAATTTTCACAAGTCAAGTTTAATTCTAGTTCCAAGTTCTATGGAATGTTTTAGGTTTTTAAAAATGTTTTAAAAATTCTGGAAAGTATGATTTGTTATCTTCAAAGCTCCTAAAATATTTTAGAATAAGTTATTCCTGAAAATCATTAAATAATTTATGTTTATTTAAAAGTTTGAGGAAATGATTTTGAAATTTTTTTTTCTAAAAACTCTACATGATTTGAAATAAAACTGGTATTAAATGAAGCTAAAATAACTATATTATAAAATAAAAATATTTTTCATTGAATTAAGAAATTTTATTTTCAAAATGTTACTGGTTGTTAGACACTATGAATACTAGGTGTCCACTAATAAAATAAATGAGCTTCCTGGTCTGAATTCGGGTCTTGAACTTAAGAAGGTGAATACATTTTAAAAACCTATGAAAAAATTCCTGTTTCATTAGATATTTCTGAAGATCATTTGCACCAAAGTTTTTTTTATCTAACTTTAACTGTCCTAACACTATCCATATGTTATATTTTTCATTTAGGATCATCATCATCTTGATCTATTTGTCATTTAGAACTAATTTTTTTATTAATTTGTTTGTTTCTGAAGCACTAAAAAAAATAATTAATCTGACTATAAAAACTCTCTTTTCTAAAAAAAAAAATTTTTTTTAATTTTTTTTGGTTCATTAGTGCTAGTATTACAATAAAAATATACAGTCCTGAGCTGCATAACAGTTTAAAGTCAGGTAGGGTATCTGGTTGTAAAAGTTGCTTTAAATCTTCCATAATATTTAAATAAGAAAGTGGTATTATAGAAATCCACACAAACCACACTAATGTAAAACCATATAGCTTAAACATTAAAAAAAAATTTAATACTGAAATATTATTGATATATATGTTACATCTTTTTTCAGAATCAAAAGCATTTGGAGGAAAAAATTATGCACTTGATAAGTTTGCTTCTGCATTAAAGGTATTTGTTTTAATAAGTTAAATCTGTGGCTTTATTTTTTTTTTAATAAAAAGTTTGTAATTATTAACTCAGTCTTTTATTAAGTTTAATTTATTTTATATATATATATATATATATATATATATATATATATATATATATATATATATATATATATATATATATATATATATATATATATATATATATATATATATATATATATATATATATATATATATATATATGTATATATATATATATATATATATATATATATATATATATATATATATATATATATATATATATATATATATACATATATATATATATACTTGACTTGACTTGTGTTTTGGAGATAATGGGTTTAAAAAAAAATGATTAGCCTCCTTGACTGTAGTCTCATTTTCCTGCACAGCCCTAAAAGTTATTAAGATAAGAAATAAAATTTACTGTTTAGTAAATTTTATTTCTTATCTTGATAACTTTTAGGGTTGTGCAAGAAAATGAGACTACAGCAAGGAGGCTAATCATTTTTTTTTTTAATTTTTTTATACAACCCTTTCTCAACCCGTTATCTCCAAAACGCAAGCCAAACAAGACCTCTGCGCAAAGAAATATGTTGAGTGCTGTACTACCAGGGACATAGTAAGTAGTAAGTGCAGAGGTCCCGGCCTGGCCCAAGTTAAAATGGAGCTTTTTAAAAACCTGACCCCAACAAAATTATAAGATTTACCAGGGTTTATAGCCAGGGCTAGGATAAATTTGTAATACTATATATATATAATAAATTCATGCATACTTTTACTATTTTTTAAATATTGGCACACATATTTATATTTTTTTAAATTACATCACTTCTGACAAGGTTGCAACCAACCACTTGAAAGTTTCTAGAAAACAAAGGATACAGTTAAAGAGAAAGGAAATGATTAAGTGAAAACTTAAAAAGTTGCAGGTTGTATGAGTCAGGAAAACATGAAGATGGGTGAGAGTTTTGTTGATGTGCGAGAAAAGAAACAAGATTAATAAAAATTCTTATAGCATAGAGGGATAGATACAGTAAAAAGATGTGACTGTTGAATGAAAAGCTGAGCAAGAAAGAGTTTTGGTTGATCAAATTAGAGTTAATAGCTTGTTTAAATATTTTAAAATATTTTAGGAGATTTGAAGATAACAAGAGAAAGAAGTCTTGAGTTATTTGTCATGTCATTTGCTGTAGCTGAGCAAATAGCATCATATTTAATTGCAAAAAAGGACGCAACACCAGGAGAACAAGGATGCAACACTAGGAGAAACCATTAAAATTTTACAATCAATTTGTGGAAATTCTTGAGAAATTTCTGAGAGTTACATTGTATTTCAATTATTTTTAAAGCATAATGGTTTTACAAACAACATCAAGCATTGGCCTTTGGTTGAAGCTGAAATTTTGAACTTTTTTATTTCTTGTGACATGAAGTTGGCCAGCATTTTGTGTGGACTTCAGTCTCATGCAAGCATGCACTCTTGCACATAGTGCAACATTAGTTCAAATCTCTCAAGCTGTGGACCTTCTAGGTGTCTTTTTGGAATATTTTCAAACTTTAAAAACTTCTTAAAACAATGTTAAACAGGCCAATAGTTTTGAAAATGTGGTCCGTAAACCTATTGTTTCTGAATCCAAATGTTCTTCTGAATCCAACTGTACATTTCCAATGTACTGAATTTTGAACTCGTTCCACCAATGGAACTGCACTTCCTTGGCACCATTTTATTGATCTGTTCAGAGCAATGAGAGATGTCTGGTCGCAAACATAGCAATAATTCCCTGAGTCAAATTTTCGGTTTCATTTATACATGTAGAAAGTTTTAGGCTGTTGTCTTTTGCATAACCTTTAAGCATTATATAAAAGAAGAACTTGTTAAAAAGAATTTTGCAATTCAAAAACTCCTATTTGATAAAAAATAAATTTATTTAATATTTGCCAAACTGTAGCATCACCCCAAAAAGTCCATGCTGCTCTAAATACCTATATCATTCTAGTTTTTTTCCTTGCATATCAATCTTTTAGATTTCTTGTTTCAAACAAATTACTTATTTTTTAAGATTTCAGCTTTTTTGTTCATAAACTCTCTTTTGACTCCCAGTTACTTATTTTATAGACTATGTTTATGAGAGTTTCAGAAGCAAGCTGTGAAACTTCAAAAGATCATCTTTCAACTCAAAGGTTTTACAAGGTAATTTAGCCATTAAAATCATATTACTATATAATAATATTTGTATAGCATAGTATAATAATATAGTAATAGTAGTACTATAAAGTAAACATAAATGTGCTTAGCTATGGGTGGGTCAGGTGGGTTTATTTGAAAACTATATTTTTAAGTTAGAAAGCTCAGAAAGTTGCTCTTTTATATAAAAATTGAGCAAAGTACTTTTATGGATTAAACAATCTAATCTTCTTCCAGTTTTACAAAAAATTGAAGAAAAAAAAATGTTTTACTCAAACATTTTAAAGTCACATCTTTTTATTGTGTTTTATGTGTGTATAAGTAAAAAAACTATTTTGATCCACCCTAATATGTATATACATACAGTAAATATTTCAATTTTAACCTAAACAGAAAAATAGAAAACAAAGAAATAGTTTTAAATAAAAATATTATGCAATTTAAAATTATAAGAAACAAATAAAAACAACATATTAGATTTAAAAGAAGCAAGAATCAATTAATGAAGTAGGTTATATATATATATATATATATATATATATATATATATATATATATATATATATATATATATATATATATATATATATATATATATATATATATATATACATATATATATATATACATAATATATATATATATATATATATATATATATATATATATATATATATATATTATAGTTTATAAATATATATTATGCAGCAACAATGCTAAGGTGCAGGCCTTCGCTTTCAATCTTAAAGGTAAAAAATTATATAAATATAATTCTCGTTCAAGCAGGAATTTTATTACCAATTCTGCCAAATCCGGTTCCAGCTGAAATTCTAAATTTCCAATCCAGTACACCCCTAATATACTCTTCAAAAACAAACTTAGTGAGCCAAGCGAGCTGCTGCTCTAAACAGCTTCTTAGGAGAGCTTTTTGTTTTTGTGCAAGCTATCTGTTTATTCATTAAAAAAATTGCTTATTAAATACAAAATTTTGGTTTTATATTTGTTACAACCCCAGGGCACTATAAATTGTTTTTTTTTATGAAATTGTATCTTTATTTATTCTATCAATCTAATTTAAAAGTTTTATTTTAAAATAATTTTTATTCTAGTTAATAAGTTATTAGATATATCAATGATGGTTTTTGAATTTAATTAATTTTTATTTCTTCAAAACAATTTTTTATACATTTGCAAAGTGCAAGCAAATAAATGATAATGATTATATGCAATGACCTAACGATTGTAAATTGTTATCCATTGATACTTAATAATTAGTCGCATTGCTACTAACAAAGGCCTTTATGTTGAAGGTTTAAAGGCCTTTATGTTGAAATTTTATTTGAAAATTCATGATCCAGCTTTAAAAGGAGCTGTGTTTTTTGCTGTTTGCAGAGGAAAGGTACTTTTTTTTTATCAAAAGTTTTGAAATTTTTAATATGATCTACTAAAGAATGTTTGTAAAAAATTCTGTGGGTAAATCATGTTTACATAAAGTTATGCAAAGTCTCATGTAATGATTTCATATGATAATGAATTCATATCCAAATATTTAACATTTTTTCTAATATTTTTAATAAATAGTGTTGTATGATGAAATTAATTATTAACAAATACATTGTTTTAATTGGAGGCAAAAAAACTTAATAATAAATTTTTTTCAATTTAGTTTGCTAATTTTATTTACAAATAAAAAAGTGTATAAACTTGAAAAAATTAAAATAAAAAGAGCTAAACACAAAATAAAAGTTGTTTTGATATTTCTATTTTAAAACTTTAAAAAATAATATCATATTGAGTATTTAATAATAAGTTAGTATCATATTTAATAGTACATATTATTGGCATTGTTAAAAGAACAATAAAAACTAAAAACTATAATAAACATATAAGTTCTATATAATCTATTAGGTTATATATATATTGCAGCAAAACTCAAAAATTCTTTTCAAAAATTTTAAAATTATTTTTAATATGCAAATAAACATTACTTTACTTTAAGACAATTAAAAAAATTAAAAAAAAAATGCACGATATAGAAAAAAGCAATCATAATTTTTGAGCATGGTTTCTTTAGGAAGTAATTGCAAATACATCTATTTTAAGTAAATTTTTGCATGCTTTTGTTAACGCATGCATAAAGCATGCTAGAATATAATTACTTACTTTGATTAGGGATCGTCCATAAATTACGCAATGCAAAATTAATTTAAAAACAGAAGTTAGAGATATCAAGCTCTTTTACGTGGTGATTTTCATTCAACTTAATGGCCTGTTTTACGTGGTGATTTTCATTCAACTTAATGGCATGTTTTACGTGATGATTTTCATTCAACTTATTGGCCTGTTTTACATGGTGATTTTCATTAAACTTAATGGCCTGTTAAATATTTTTCATGTTTTAATTTTTTATTTAAATTATGACTCTGTGAGGAAAAACTTTTGATCTTTTTTGTTTTGTTTATTGTGAAAGTTTGCATTAATTTATTTATTGTGAAAGTTTGCGTTACATAATTTATGGATGTTCTCTTAGCATACTTAGTTATTTTACTTATTTTATTAGGCTTTTGAAAGAAATAATCATGTTTTAGCATTATTTATTTTAAAGTTTTTTAAATGTGTTTTAAATGTTAGTATCTAATTTTTTTTTTTATAAACAATAAATAACTATCAATTGCATAATTATTTAGAAAAAAAATTTAAGCAAAAGCCATATGCAAAATAGACATATGGCAAAATATGCATATATGCAAAACATGCAATATTTGCATATGTAAAAATATAGAAATATGATCTTCATTTTCCTGTTGTTTTTTTTAACAAAAAGTTTGCACGTTCTTAGATTGGTTGCACCATAGCAAGCATATGTAGATTACATTAATATTTTTACTGCTTATAAAAAAAAAATTATATTTTCTTATTGTAATATAATGTAGGCGTTTTAAGAATTATTACAAATAGTTATTAAAATGACTGTATTTTTTATTTTAGTTACAGTGATAATTATACTTTTGATAGAAAAAATTATACTTTTGCGAAAGCCATAAATTGCTCCCGCAAACCATTTTAGGTGAGTGTGGATAAGAGTGAGATATATATATATATATATATATATATATATATATATATATATATATATATATATATATATATATATATATATATATATATCAGTCTTCTCTATTTGAAATTTAATGCCAGCGTACGAAAAAGCGCTGACAGGATGGTCATTTTTAAATTAGCTTGCACGATTTAAAAAATTTTTTTTTTTCTTCTTTTTAAATTTTAATAAAAATTGCAAAAAAGAATGCTTTGAATAAATATTAGATAAAATAATTTTAAAAAACTTGTAAAAAAAGGCATAACATTTCATAAGAGTTGAACAAAATAGTTTTGTTGCTATTTAAAACAAAACGGTTTTAGAGGAAAAACGTTTTGTTTCCTCTAAAAGCGTTTTATTTTAAGTAGCAACAATCAAGGAAAGCGGTTTGACTAAACAAATGTTCAATTTAATCGAAGTAAAGCAATTGTTATTGCTTTCAAGGGACTATAGAAAACAGTTCAAGATAACAAAAATTCATGCTAACTTGTGTTTGACTTACCGGAAATCAACTGTATATTATTTTCTTCATTCTTTTTTTATTTGATTAATATATTCAGCTGTTAAATTCCTTAGAATGGTAACATTTTAAATTTTAGTTTTTAAAAATTATAGGTCCACATTTCTGCCGAAGATGACAAAAAACAAAAGTCCCTTGATGCATGGGCTCAGTCATCTAAACAAACAAAAAAATATTGTAATAATATTTTAAATAGTTAATTATTTCTTTCTTTTTTATTTATTTCTATATTTATCAATTTTTGGTTAGAATTGTCAAATCATCCAATCTTATATAAAAATCAATAATAATTTATTTAGCTATGCTTCTTAATAGATGTTGCTATTTATTCACATTGCTTTTTACTTAGCTGCACGGACTCTAAGTTATTGGTGTTTCAATCCGGGGTTAACAATGAAAGAGTTGCGTGATCAAGGAGTTCGATCAATCATATTAACCAGTGGAACGCTTTCTCCCTTGGCTTCCCTTAAGGCTGAGTTTCTTATGTAAACTTTAATAGTTTTTTTTTAATATAAATTAATGGAATTTTATTTTTAATATTCGTATTGTTTTCATTTTTCTATTATTTTTAGTTTATAAATTATAACATTTTTATTAAGTCCATTTGATGTTGAACTGGAAAATGGCCATGTTATTGAAAAACAACAAGTTTTTGTAGGAATTTTACCACAAGGTCCTGATGGAAAAAAACTTAACTCATCATATCAATCTCGTTCCACTTCTGAGTATCAAGTCAGTTTAGGAAACACAATTGTCAACTTGTCTAGAATTATACCTGATGGGTTGTTAGTTTTCTTCCCTTCTTATCCTGTTATGGATATGGTACTTGCAAAATGGCAGGTATGTATAAAATTCATTATTTGGAAAAGTTAAGTATAAAATCAGTTTAAAAAACATTTAAGAAAAATTTATGACTTTTATAAAATATTTTAATAGAATATACTTTTACAGGTATATTATATAGAAGTAGTTGCATTCTAAACAGCAACACACTAATGACACTATTGCTACACTATATTATGATTCAATAGTTTGGTAGTGGTTGATATTTTAGACTAAGTGGATAAAGTTTTACATTTCTAGCATATTATACATAAATTCTTTTATCTAGTTTTTTTGACTCTTTATGGGTGGGTTTTGTTGAAATCTACTCCTCATTGATTTATTGATATCTACTACCGCATTGATTTGTTGATATTTACTTCCACATTAATTTGTTGATATCTATTACCACATTGATTCATTGATATCTATTACTGCATTGATTTATTGATATCTACTACTGCATTTATTTATTTTATTTGTGATTGATTGAATTCTATCACTATTCTACTACCGCTTTGATTTGTTGATATCTACTACGCATTGATTTGTTGATATCTACTACGAATTGATTTGTTGATATCTACTACAAATTGATTTGTTGATATCTACTACAAATTTGTTTGTTGATATCTACTTTGAATTGATTTGTTGATATCTACTACCACATTGATTTGTTGATTTTATGATTGATTGAGTTCTATTACTATTTTACTACCGCATTGATTTGTTGTTATGTACTACTGCATTAATTTGTTGATATCTCCTACAGCATTGATTTGTTGATTTGGTGATTGATTGAATTGACTATGTGTCAAGGGTTTGTCAGAATGAAAACCAATGCATTGATTTTCATATCTCTTTATTTTTATCTTTATTAGTCTTTCTTGATGCTGACTTCTATAAAATACCTCTATTTAAAGAAGCTGCAGAATTCTAGTATAATAGCAAAAGAATATTTCATTGAAACAGTGGGAAAACAGTATATTTATTAGGCTGTTGGCCCAAAAAATTTAATCATCTGCTTGTTTAGTATTTAGATCCTAGAATATTTGCTGCTTTATTATGACTCTACCTGCGCATCTTATTAGTGCAGACCTGCAAAAAGTGAGGTGGTCTTCAATATTGATAAACGTCTTTGACTTGTTATTGTACAGGTATATCAGTTAGTCATGTCTTTTTAAATTTTTATAATGTATATTCACTGATTACAACTAAGAAAACTGTAACAAAAATTAGTGCTTTATGATTTAGGACGCCTTGTGGTTAGCTGTCAGCTATTTTTAGCAATTGTGATTTTTAGAAAAATATTTTTTTCATTTCCATTTACTATTTGTACTTATTATTTGTAGTACTGCTAATTTTTCTTAAACAATGTTGTCTGTAATTTTTAATTAATTAGTTTAATTAACAACTCTTTCTTTCTTTATGACTATCAAACCAGGAACAAACAAATAAGGTACATGGAGAAATACAAAAGTTGAAGGATATACTCTGTTCCTCTAGCTTATTCGAAAAGGGTGCTTATGAAGATAAACTGTATCACTAACACTAATAAAGTTTCTCAATCATCCAAGTCATATGGACTTTTGTATTGCTGTGAACATTAACAAAACTTTTTTTGTGATTCAATCATTTCAATCTAATGTTCAACGCATTGCTGTATATACAAGATTACAGTTTTATGCTGATCAGGCTCTTTAGGTGGCAGGAACAAAAGATTTTAAAGAATATTCAGACAAATCCGCACAACTTCTGTGCCTTTTTTTCCAGTTGGTCCACTAATAATTCAAGCGTTTTTTCCAAACTATTAAATGAAAATGCACATAATAAAAAATTTTAAATCAACTGATTGAAAGAAACTTATTATGAATTTATTTGAAAAACTTATTATGAATTTATGAATATTATGAAACTTATTATGAAAAAAATTTATTAGCTGAAAAAATGTCTTGCTTGAGAAACTTTTTTTTTGTGATTGCAAATCTAAGCTATGACAAAAAACAAGTTTATGGGTGCATTGTGAAAACAAATTTAAAAAATTTAAATTTAATGATAAAATCTCATTTTGCAGAACTTGTTTTTGCTATTTAAAATAAAAATTTATAAAAAATAAATGTTTTAAATTTTTTGTGACATTTTTTAAATATTGGTTTTTGTAATGATGAAGATCATGATGGTAATCATAATAATGATGATTGGTCATGTACTATTTTAGGAATGTGGTATATGGAATCGCATTGCTACTAACAAAGGCCTTTATGTTGAAGGTCGTGGTAAACTTGGTTTTAATGAAACTATTGATGAATTTTATTTGAAAATTCATGATCCAGCTTTAAAAGGAGCTGTGTTTTTTGCTGTTTGCAGAGGAAAGGTACTTTTTTTTTATCAAAAGTTTTGAAATTTTTGATCTACTAAAGAATGTTTGTAAAAAATTCTGTGGGTAAATCATGTTTACATAAAGTTATGCAAAGTCTCATGTAATGATTTCATATGATAATGAATTCATATCCAAATATTTAACATTTTTTCTAATATTTCTAATAAATAGTGTTGTATGATGAAATTAATTATTAACAAATACATTGTTTTAATTGGAGACAAAAAAACATACCAACAAACAAACCTGATAGTTAAAACAAAGTTGGCGTTGTTTAATACCACTTTGGTATTAAACAATACCAACTTTTGTATTAAACAATGCCAAAACTATACTAAAAAATAAAAATAAAAAGATTCAGAATATATAACATTTTATAAAATGTATAATACTTGTATAAAATTGTGATTTTTATTTTATTTGTACACATACTGACTGAGAGTTTTGGTTTGAGCAGACAATATTTCTATTAAATGTCTTTTTCAATTTTTTAAAATTTTATTCTTGTCATGGTTTTTAATTTTTGTGTGTACTATATTTAAATATTTATATATATAATTACTTTGGCCTGTTTGCATTGTTTTAATATATATTGTATAATTTTAAAATACCAACAAAAATACTTTTTTTTTTTCAGAAAAAGAAGAAAAAAATGAGCAATAATGAAAATCAATTTTTTTTATTTTTTTGTAACAAAAATTTATATCTAAATATCTCACTGCACCTAAGTCCTTAGTTGATATATGTACTGAGGATTTTGGCAGCTCTGTCATACTAAAATAGTTCATTTAGATAGCTTTTTTAGCTAGTTTTAGTTGCATAAAACATCATCATTAATGTTTCATGCAAGGCTAATTGTGCAAAGATATTAGCATATATATAGAAGAAGATTTAACGTTTTTTGTTTGTTTTAAACTACAACAGCTTTGTTTTGTTTTTGGTTTTAGGTTAGTGAAGGGCTGGATTTTTCTGATGCGAATGGAAGAGGAGTGGTAATTACTGGACTTCCGTTTCCTCCTTCTTTTGATCCTAGGGTAATTTAAGTTATAAATAAACTTTTCCAAATGTTTTTCAAATAATTAAATTTACTAAGAAACTATATTTTTATACAAAGAAGTAATACATTGTTTAGTTTTTTTTTAGTTAAATACTTTATTACTTGTAACTTTTATAAATGTCATACTGCATCAATTGCATATTGCATCAATTGAACTATTGATTTAATTTATGAATTACTTGAATATAATAATAATTGAATTGCTTGAATATAATAATAATTGAAAAACTTGTTAAAAACTTGTTTAATTAAGTATTACTTAAAATAATGTTTTTTTTTTTAATAAATGCTGAAACAAATATTGTTTTAACTTTTCAAATATTTTAGTTTTTTTAAAAAAAGGTTTTTATCTGTTGCACCAAGTTACAAATGTATAAATCACACTTAATATCAGTTATAACCAATTTATTTTAAATAAGTAATAAAACTGAGTTGTCTTTAACTTAAATAACAGAGAAAATAATGATTGGTTGATTCAACATAAACAAAATCCAATATTTTAAATACATATAAAATAAATTTTTTTGTGTCCAGCATTGAGCCTACTGTTAGCATCTGAATTTAAATCTATAAGTAATTAATTAAAAGTATTATCATTAATTATAATGCAGTTTTTTCTTTCCATTTTTTTAATCACTATTATATACTGAACAAGACTGATTAAACTTTTTTAATTTGAAACACACAAATGTAAGTTACTTTTATGGAAAATATTTTTTTGTTGAAAAAACAGTGATACAAATAAAAACTTTTTTTCATTACTGTTTTATTATAAATTCTTTTTTTTACTTTTTTAATACCTAAAATTTTAAAAATTGTTTTTTTCAGAGACCTATTGCAAAAAAGGTCAATTTTCAGAGACCTATTGTAAAAAAGGTCAATTTTTAGAGACCTTTTGTAACATAGGTCAATTTTTAAAGACCTATTGTAAAAAGATCAATTTTCAGAGACCTATTGTAAAAGGTTAATTTTCAGAAGCCTATATTAAAAAGGTCAATTTAGAAGTATTTTTTAATTTATTATATTTATAACTGAGTTGAAACATCTGGGTTTTTAAAAAAACTAAAAACACAGGAAATGATTGCATCATTTCCTACATAAAACAAACAATTTCTGCGCTCTCATAGATTTAATGTTATCATATTTTTTACAATGTATTAATGTTAACATATTTTTTATCGCATGTTAAATTAAATTGCTTTGCTGCTTATGTTTATGTAAACATTAAACATTGAATACTTTTAATCTTTGTTTTTAAAAAATTATAATTATTAATAAGTTTTCCTCTTTTTTTTTTAAATTTTTTTTTTACACAAAAATGCATAAAAGTTTGCCATCATTTACAACAAAACAACATATAACAAGCCTGAAAAGTATAATTTTATAGTATTTAATAACTATTTATTTTGTATACTTTAGGTAATTTTAAAACAACAGTATTTAGATGAACATAAATCCAACGTTACAATTAGTGGAAAAGAGTGGTATCGACAACAAGCATCTCGAGCTGTCAATCAAGCGATTGGTCGTGTTATAAGACATAAAAATGATTTTGGTGCAATTTTACTTTGTGACGAACGGTAATTTATATGCTCTAAATTATTTTAAATTAATACTGTTCATACTGTTTTCAGCTGATTTTAATTATTTTAACTTTTTTTATTTCTAATTATTTTAATTCTTTTTTAATCATTTGATGTATTTGGCAGACATATGACAAGATGTGCAGTTGCATAAGTATATTTTTTTTTTTTGCAATGGTTCTATACAGATTTTGTCAACCATCTGCGAAAGAGCATCTGCCTTCATGGATTAAACAGCAAACTAAAGAGTACAAAGACTTTGGCCAAGCCCAGCGTGATCTAGTTATATTTTTTCGAAATATCCAAGAAAAGGTTTTAACTATTTTTATGTTTAGGTTTACCCAGAGTTGTTAAAAAGGCCAAAAGTAGCAAGGCCAAGGCCACACGTTACAAGGCTAAGGCCTACCTTAAAAGAGTTTTAAGGCTAAGGCCTAAACAAACATTTTCAAGACCAAAGACTTCAATTTTTGCCTCAGGTTAAGGCCAATTATTAACAAAGCTGTTAGTAGCAAGTGCTGTGATAATAAAACCACATTTTGTAAAAATATCCAAGGTTATGTGCAGAATTCAACAAAATCAATCAGAAAATATGTTTTTTTAAAAGCTAAAACTACAACAATCAAAGCTAAAGACAAAATTTTTAAAACCAAAGCCAAGGCCAACAGTTTCAAGTTCTAGACCAAGGCCTCAATTTTTGGCCTAAGGCAAGGCCAAGGATTAACAACTTTGGGTTTACCCCCAAAAATATTTTTTATTTAAAAAGTTTTTTAATACAATATTATTTTATTAAATAGAACACATTTAGGTTGCCAGCAGACATTTAAAAAAAAAGTTAAACCCTCAAACATTAAATGGGTATCTAATATTATGTCATGTTGGGTCTCTATTAAAGCGTAATTATTTATAAAATTTTAAAAATATGAATTATTTTATTAATAAGTTATTATTTTGAGTTTAGTAACCAGAAAATTACATTTTTTAACAAAAATAAAAAAGGTAATTCAACAAGATTTTTTGATTATAATTTTTTTTTCTTAATGTTTTTTATAAAATAATGATTATTTTTGAAATTTTTATATAATTTTGCTACATTTGAGACCCAGTGTAAGATACTTTTGAAAAACTTATTTTTTTTATAATATTAGGGACCTATTTAATGCTCAAGGGTCCATAGCAGCCCATAAATATATTTTTTATTCAAAAAATTTTTAAATCCAGTATTTTTTTATTATATATATATATATATATATATATATATATATATATATATATATATATATATATATATATATACATATATATGTATATATATATATATATATATATATATATATATATATATATATATATATATATATATATATATATATGTATATATATATGTATATATATATATATATATATATATATATATATATATATATATATATATAATTATATATGTATATAACATTAGTGAGTATGATATTAATCTGATAATAGACCGATTTAGAGAGTTGTGAGGGCTTTACTACATATATTAACTGATCTAGACAGAACATGCAAGGGAGCTGCTGTTACATTGACAGAGCAGAATTTTGAATAACTTGTTCAAAATTTTAAATAGTAGTTAAAATTTTTTCTATTTTGGCTCGGCAAACCAATAGTTTGTATAATATTCAATTAATATCCTTTAAAATTCAAACTTGTAAAAAATGAAGTTTGTTGTTAACAGCTTGCTTAATTGGTGGCTCTTATCCTTACTATTTTTATCCTGCCATTGAGATAAACAGAACAGAAACTTCATGAAGCATAATTAAGATTAATTGGATAAGTATAGTGAACAATGATAAGTAAGAAAAATTGGATAAGTACAGTTTGATTGATCTTTAAATAAGTCATTGTTTTCTTTTAATTTTTTTCAAGGATAAGCAACATCTGTAAGTTTGGATTGTCTCTAGAACAAATAGATTTTAAGACTATATGCTCCTTTTGTCATTTGCCTGGCACATTAATAGACACCTTGTGGCTTTGATGATCTTCTGATAATCTTTTTGTGGTAAATGCTTTTGATAATTCCTAAGGAATCATGAAATATTTTTCTAATATTTATCTAATTGCTTTGTAGAATTTTACTGTGAAAATGTTATGGGTTTGGCAAAAAAGTTTCTTGAACATTCTTCTGATAAAATGAGATGACATTTACAAAGATCATACAGACTTTTTTTTTTTTTTAATTCTTCAGAGTATAATCCATTTGCTTTTATAACAGCACCATATACTCTGTGCATCCTTCTCATCAATATCAGTAATAGTTCAGTTGTTTTTGATTGGTTAAAAGGTATTTTTATTGGTTGGTTGCATTTTTCTCACATTTCTCTCTTGTTCATAACAATTAGGTTTAAATCAAAAATTTTAATCTGACAAGTTAAAGAAAAATCTGTTAAAGAAAAAAATTTATAAGAAAAATGTTAGAATCTAATTTATAGGAAAAAAGTTTATAAGAAAAATGTTAGAATCTAATTTATTGGAGGCAATTCCATTTTATAAAGTTCTTTTTATTTTTCTTTGGGTAGAATATAATTTTGGCAGAATTTAGAACTTTGTTTATGATTGTTATTTTTGATGAAACTTCTTTTGTTCCATAAAAATGCTTTGTTGGAGAATATTAAGGTATATTTTTTATACATAATGCTCTTAATTTGAACAAGGTTACAAACTTTGTTTCCAGTAAAGCATCCCAAGACCATAACTGATTTTTACCATGCTTGTTGGATTTATGCATTAGTATATCATGCATTCACATTAGTATACACATACATACATATATACATATATATATACATATATATAAACACACATATAAATTTTAAGCTCAAGACAAATATCTCAAGAAAATATGTAAGAAAATAATTTTTAAATGTATTTTTAAGATTCAGAGTTTGCAGTTAGGTTTTAGATCAAAATTGAACTATTAGAACCATTCAAATTGTTTTGAGTTACTAACTCACAGCCAATAGTGAGGGAGCAGTTGCTGTGGCTAGTTCCTTGTATCCACTCTTCTTCTTTTTTATTGGTTTTTTACACAAACTCTTTATTTGAAGTAGCTTCTGAAGCCTCTTCAAGCTTATCTTCATATCTATGCACAGCTACATTTCTTGTATACCTGTAATTTACTTTTAAATAAAAAGAAATAAATATACTTGTAACCTGTAATTTATTTTTAAATAAAAAGAAGTATATTTCTGGTGTTAAGAAACATATTTCCTACCAAGCAATTTATTTTTTGAAACAAGAAATGTATTTCTTGTTTTGAGAAATAAATTTGCTAAACTATGGTCAGTAGATTTATGGTTTTTCTGTGAGTTCTGATGAGTTGTTAGCAAATTTGAAAGACTTCAAAGTTTTGAAAATCATTGTATCCCAAAAAGCCTGAGGGAGCCTCATCCATAGTCATTTTTTCAAACTATGCCTAAGAATATTAAAGAATATTAACCTGTAGTCTGGTGAAATATACAACTCAAGACCTAGTGGCTGGTTTTTATCAACAAAAATTGCTTTCAGAAGGATTTCAGCTTTGATTCTATCTATTTTTACATCTTTTTGGACCTCCCTTTATGTTGAATACAAAACTTATACTATATAGTGATCTCTGTCAAAAGATGCTAATGCCACCACCACAATTAATCCAAACACCTCGTAAGGTTTTACCATGATTTGAATTTCTCCTCTGCAGCAGGGCCATATTCAATCTGCCAATAGTCTCAATGATCTTAAAAGTGTAAACTAAAAATAATGTAAATAAAATAAGGTTTGTTGTAATGTAGATAAAATAAGGTTTAAAATGACATTGCTAGAAACTTATTACATTTAGTTTTGACAAAATCAAATCAAATGCTGTTTCTATTGATTTCATTTTTATTGTATTCTACTGATTTTAAGAAAAGTTTGTCAGTGAAAAAAAAATTGGTTAAGAATTATTGTATTTTACATCTAACTTTCAACCTTTGGAATTAGGGTCGGCATTTGGCATTTCAATTAATATCCTTTAAGATTCAAACTTGCAAAAAATGAAGTTTGTTGTTAACAGCTTGCTTAACACATTAATTGGTGTCTCTTATCCTTGCTATTTTTATCCTGCCATTGAGATAAACAGGACAGAAACTTCATGAAGCATAACTGTCAACCTGAAAGTGTTTGATGAAATGCAACCTAAATTTCATGTAGCAAAAATCATTGCCAAAAACCTGGGATTTAAAAATTTGTTAATTTATACCTAATAGTCTGGTTTTTTTCTGCAAGTTCTCAATAATCTCTGCACTTCTCAAAAGTCTAAATGTTAATAATTTTAAAATTAGAAACTTATATATTTTGTTTTTGCATAGAGGTATTTTAAAGTAAAATAGTTTTATCTTTACCTTGTTATTTTTAAACCTTTTATGGTCTATTGGGTTCCTGCCAATAGAGCCTGCTTCTCCAAGCAGATGCCCTTAACATTCTGGTGGTTAAAGTGCAACAGCATCGTCTCATTGTTTGCATCAACAACATCCCAGCTCTAATTCAGAGATTTAAATAGTTTATTCTCCGGCTTAACAGTTTTATTTACGGCTACGGCTATATGAAGCTCTCATACATGATGGCAGGAGGTTAACAAGAGTAATGATTGGCCATGAAACTTAACTAACCTTGCCCAAACCCTTTTTAAATAGTCAGGGCTTGAATTGAGTGGACTGTATGAGATCAAAAGAATCTAACAAACTTTTAATTGCTGTGTATTGGGCCTCAACGCTATCATGTTTGAAAATCACATTTTTTTAATTTCATATCAAATTTGTGGTTTTTAAAATACCACCAGTTAACAAAAGTAATAAAAAAAGTGCTCATAATTGGTATAAATAAAAAACCTTCCATTCTTTGTAATGACAAAATTATACAGTTAATGGTTTGTAAATTTCTATTCACGCCAATTGTTTGAAAATGATCTTAAAAACTCAAAAAATGTAAAAAGTTTAGTTTTAAAAGAGTGGCGCGAGTATAAATAGTCATTTAAAATAAAAAATAAAAAAATTTCATTATAAAAACAATACCTTGACAACATTTTATGACATTCCGTGTAATAAACTTTGTTCATGAGGGCCAAAATGGGATGGGTTAATGTGCTAACATGAATTCTAACATTGTCTGTTTGATTCTAACAAGTATGAGTAGTCATTACTATATATTTTACATAATTTGGAAAATAAAGTGAGCTTACCAGTTGCCTAAAACCAAATTTTTTTTTGTGGCTGGGGCTGTTGGCTCTAGGGGTACATTGACACACTGCGTTTAACTTCAAAGTCTTCCATCAGAAAATACCAGAAGCTTCAATAAACTTTCTGAATTGATCATTTCATCGTTCACTGTATTATCGCCGGGATCTGCGCATTTAGTTATTGTAATGGATTGTGCATGCATATAGAAATTATGTTTTTGTGTTTTTGAACAAAAATTAAACTTTTGGAACTGCTTTCTTTTACTTTACAAGGTAAATATTAGGTTTTATGACAAAAAAAAAAATTATAAAGATTTTAGTCAGGTGGTTTACCTTTAATTTTTAGCGATTATGTATAAAAGCTGCCTGAAGAATAAAATAAGCTAGATAAAATAAGGTAGATAAAAACATATAAAAAAGGTTTATTAATTACAAATTACAATAAAAATAAAAGTTTCTTTTCGATCTCTGCGAATTTACATTAATTACAAATTACAATAAAGTTAAAAAGTTTTATTCGAGATGACTTCCATTGAAATCAATTCATATCTCAGCATCAAAATCAGCATATCTCTTTACAGAAAATTAGTTTATTGCTCGTGGCAAATAAAAAAGTAGTCAGACCCATATTAGGTCATTAGTTAGTTCAGTAAAACTATGTGTGGCTGTTGCAGCTTATAAATTGGCAGAAGGGGTATGAAATTGTTTGTATGTCTTCATATTGAATGCTACGCATTTTCCTATTTATGGCGTTTAAAGTAATTATTGTTTATTTTCAAGGCTAGATCAAAAGCGATTGTTATAATTTAGATATTCAACAACCCGGATAAACTGTTTTTCTTTCTTTCTAAAGAATGTCTTTTAAAATACGATTATCGTTTTTTAAACAGCAGTAGTGTTATTTATTTTAATTGCCTTAAAATCTAAACATTTATTTTATATTTTTTTAATGTTTAGTATTAACCATTAGAAGTCGTTGTTTAAAAGCAATATGATCCGTTTTTTTTTATATGACTTTAGAAAGTGATGACTACAAAAGATGACTTTTAATTTTATATATATATATATATATATATATATATATATATATATATATATATATATATATACACAGTGTTGTCACGAAGAGATTTTAAAAGGTGGGAGGGGATGTATCTGTCTTTTTTATAGACTAAGGCCAAAAAAAGGTCCTCGTTAGCTGACATTTGCCTGCTGCCAACTATAGATCCAATTTTGCTGACTTCGGTGTCCAATGGCGGGGCGCCTCTCTCTCTCTATATATATATATATACACATATGTATATATATATATATATATATATATATATATATATATATATATATATATATATATATATATATATATATATATATATATATATATATATATGTGTGTGTGTGTGTATATATACAATTATATATATATATATATATATATATATATATATATATATATATATATATATATATATATATATATATATATATATATATATATATATATATATATATATATATATATATAATTGTATATATACACACACATATGTGTGTGTATATATACAATTATATATATATATATATATATATATATATATATATATATATATATATATATATATATATATATATATATATATATATATATATATATATATATATATATATATATATATATATATAATTTAGATGGGCACGGTTTTAACTAAGTGTAAAAGCAAACGAAAGGTTGAAGTATACGAGAATCCCTCAAGTCATCTTGTGAATGCCAAATCTAAGTCTATTAAACTTACACATATAAGTCAGCGAGACGATTTTCAAAATACAACATGTTTCAATGAAAGAAACGATTCCAGAATTTCAGCAGCAAAAAGCTCAGTGCCATCAGAATCGCTGGCATTATTGAATGAAATAAAAGTTCAAGAAAAATTTAGTATATTTGATTCTTTACAAATGAAAGAGAACGAATGTAAAAATAAAATACCTCCGAGTGCGTCACTGTCAATGAATATATTATCAAAAAAAACTGTTACTCCACATAAAGTTAAAAAATATAAACTTATAAAAAATATCGCTAATACAGAAAATATTGTTACCACAAAATGCTCTTCGACAGATATTGTTACGACAAAATGTTCTTCAACAGATAATGTTACGACTAAAAATATTTCAATAGATGCTTATAACGACAAAAAAGAAAACACAAAGGAAGACGCGAAGCAATATCTGATTAAGGTATTAAGATGTTTTATGATTTTTCACACATAAAAATGCAATTATTACCGAAATTTATTTTGATAATTTTTTATTTCCAGGTAAAAAGTATTCTATCCAAAGAGCAGTATGCTGACTTTGGATCTTCTATGATGTGTTATAAAAAAGTAATTTTTTATTGATTTTTGTTATTAGTTTTTATGACATTCTATGACAGATTTTTTAGTTAAATACATTAATCTATCATCATTAGAATGGTGATATCCGATCCTTAATTGACGGTTTTGATAAGTTATTCGATAAAAAAAGTTTGGTACATATGGATTTAATTCAAGGTAATTTTTATTATCTAATCAAAGTTTTGTTTGCGTTAATTGATATAAATTATAGAGTAATAATTAAAAGGTTAATTGATATAAATTATCGAGTTATGATTAAAAGGTTAATTGATATAAATTATCGAGTAAAAATTAAAAGGTTAATTGATATAAATTATCGAGTAAAAATCAAAAGGTTAATTGATATAAATTATCGAGTAAAAATTAAAAGGTTAATTGATATAAATTATCGAGTAAAAATTAAAAGGTTAATTGATATAAATTATCGAGTAAAAATTAAAAGGTTAATTGATATAAATTATCGAGTAAAAATTAAAAGGTTAATTGATATAAATTATCGAGTAAAAATTATAGAGTATTATCGAGTAATTGGATCCTTAATAAGATCATCTTTTTTTAATTTAGGGTTTAGTTTTTTTGTTCGGAAAGACAATGACAAGAAATTGTTTTCAGCAGCCATTGACAGGTGGTTAGGTACGATCAAATAAAAATTCAAACGTGGATAGGTAGTGATCAAGTAAAAACTGTAAATTTTATACTTATAAAATAAATTTATAAATAAATTGTTTTTATTTTATACCTTTTGAAAATCCTTAAGCAACGTCTCTTTCAAGATGTATATAAATTCTTCAAGCAATCTTCCTTTTAATATGTATCAAATATTCACAAGCAACATCCCTTTGAAAATGTTTCAAAAATTTCACAAACAACATTCCTTCGAAAATATATGTATCAAAAATTTCACAAGCAACATTCCTTCTAAGATGTATGTATCAAGTATTCACAAACAATATTTCTTCGAAGATGTATCAGATATTCACTAACAACATTCCTTCGAAGATGTATCAAATAATCACTAATAACATTCCTTCGAAGACGCATCAAATATTCACTAAGAACATTCCTTCGAAGATCTATCAAATATTCGCTATCAACATTCCTTCAAAGATGTATCAAAGGTTTCCTTCTAAGATTTATAACTGCTGGTTTCAGTATTCTTATATATCTTTGAATCATTTTTATAAGCGTTTTTTTATCTGAAAATTCTTTAAAGGAACGTTGCTTTGTATCTTTTACAAAATTTTTTTTCTTTGAACTCTGTACAGAGTTTTTTTCAAATTTTCGATACAGTTTTTTTGTATGTGTGCCATTTTTTTAAACTTTAAATATGCAAACATTTTATACTGATGTTAATGATTTGTACAATTGTTTATAAATGGATTAATTTAATTACAGCTACTTGGTGTGTTATTTGCAAGAATGAAGCTTTGAAGCCGCACTTCCCCCCATGCAACCATATGGGTTGTTATCCGTGCTGGTTTCAACTTAGACGAGTAATATTTTCAATTGAGTTGTTGACAAGAGATTTTTCAACGCGCTTTTTTGTTGGAGTTCTTTTTCTTTTTTTAAAATGGTTTGTTTGTTTGCTTTAAAATTGTTAGTGTTTTTTTCTTCTCGCAGAATGGTATGAAGTGCCCTGAATGTGGCTTGTTATTTAAGTGGCGACAGCTGAGTAAGTCGTATTTTGACGGTGTTGTTGGATTGAATGGGTACGATTTTAGTCAACTTTTGTAAAAGCGTTTATAGATTATATAATATTTATAAAAATGCTTTGACGTTTTCACGCTACGTACGCTGTCTTTTGCTATTGTATCATTTACTTATAACTTTCTTTAATTTAACTATTTGTTACTCATTTTTGTTTTTTAACACTTTTATACATAATAATTTATTCTCAATAGTAGAAAAATGAAAAAATTAGTTTACAACTTCTGACTTTCTTTAGTTCTTTAATACATAATCTGATTTTATAACAGGTTTTTTTAAATAGTTAATTTCTATATTATAAAATGACATTTTGTAAGAAATAGATTTTAGTTTTTTTAGGAAAAAGTTAGTTTTTGATTTCTTTTTTTTTCTTTTGTATTCGTTAAATCATGTTTGAAATATACTTCTTGATATATTTAGATAACCTATGATTTTGATGTGAGTAACTTAGCATAGAATGCGAATCTGAAAGATTTTAAAATTTAATAAATGATCTTGTTTTGTGTGTATGTTTTCTCCATTTTTTTAGTTTGTTTGTTTGTTTTTTTTGCTTTTTAAACTATATAATATATTTTAAAACTTTTTTGTTTAGTAACAACCTAAACAGGTTTTACTGTACAAGGATCATAAAAAAGGTATTTCCAATTAGCTAAAAAAAAAAGTATTTCAGAAAACATCTATTAAACGTCAATTAAACCGCTTAAAGACCTAATAAAGACGGTCTTAAAGATGCCTTGTGTTTGCTGTGTAAGTACTTTTATTTTGATAGAACCTTAAAATTCTTAAGCGACAAGTTGTCGAGACTAGTATAGAATCAGCGAACCAAAATAAATTAAATTTCAAACTAGAGTTAATCCTTTGAAAAACGGCGCAAGGACGACAACAGAAAAAAAAACATCTTTGCTTAATTAAGTCGTTTTAAAACGTAGTATCCGTTTATTTAGCAAGTATTTCTTTATAAAATATATTTTTTCGTTTTAAAGAATCATTTTAATTTTAAAAAGAGAAATGTTTAAAATCTTATTAAAACCAAATTAATGAATATTAAAACACATTTACTTTCTAAAAATATTTAGGAAGAAAAAATGTAAAAATTTTTTTATCAAGATAATGATTGACTTTTATTATTTAAAAAACAACTCTCGAGAGATGTAAAAGTATTCCATAAAAAAAGCAATAAGACAACCTTATATAATCAAACTGATTTATATAGTTGTATAGGGTAGGGTGGGGTAATATGGATATATTCAATAAGTATACATGGAGTAAGTTATCTATACATAATGCTAAAACCTGTAAATTACCAACAATTTATACACATAATTAACTTCTTTCTTTTTTTTTTTTTCTTTTTTTTTTTGCATTAACAATATTAATATTTAATTTACATGAATAATTAAAATGTAAAACATTTTATTTTAAAAAAATATATAAAAACATTACGTTTCAAAACTTTTGCCTGCAGACTTCAGTAATATTACTTATCCAAGAATAATGATGTAAATTTATTAGTTGGACCGTGATGTAACAGCATGTGAAATTTAAATTATAAGTTTTCTAACCCATATTGATAAATAAACAAAATTCTAGAATGGGGTAAAATGGATACATAAAATTCTATTAACATTATAGAATTTTGTTACAAAATCATAAGCTACATGGCTTACTTATGCTCACTTTTGCTTTTAAATATAGTAATATACATTTTTAATATAATATTATACATTTTTTCAGTTACATATAATAGTTTTATATAATGCTACTGAACTATTTACATTAAGATCATAGTTCGAACTTGTTTTCCCTAAATGGCTAGGGTAAAAATTTAACTCCCATCTAAATATTTTATTTTTATATTCCTTATTTTATTTATTTTACTATCATATTTTACTTTATAATTAAATTTTATATTTTATATAATTAAAGTTAATTTTATAATGCCAAATAAAACTGCAATCTGCGCTGTTTTTCAAGATGTAACAAATAACAAAATTGAGAATTGTTTTTCTGGAAAGACTACTGATTCACAAGGTTCACTCGATAAAACCAATAAAATAAATTCAAAAAACTCTTTGAACCTATAGACTTTCATCAAAAGAAGTATTGCTCAAAGAATTAGATAGCAAAAAGCCGTTAAAGAAGCATCTTTTGATATTAATAAATCAGTGCTCAGTGTGCTTAGACATAAATTAAAGCCTTTTTCCAATAGTAAAGAAAAGGGAACAATGATTAAAAGAACAACAACTTATAACATGACTGAACATCTGCAATGGCTCAGGACAAAGCAACACAAGCTTCTAAAAAAAAAAAACAAGATGAAAAAGAAGCCAGAAAAGTTATAAGAGAAAAAAAAATTGGACTCAGCAATTCTTAAAAAACAAAAGTTTAAAAAAAAGAAGAAAAAAAGATTTTAAAACTTAAAAAACTCCGAAAACGGTTTCAGAAATATAACAAAACAACAAAGGTGTCTCCTAGTCAAAATATTGAGTGACTTCCTGCTGCCAACTGTAATCTCTACCATATCAATCGTCATTGTATATCCTGCGGAAGCCTTTGGAACAAAGCTACAAGCTTTGTCCCAAAGGCTTTGGGACAAAGCTACAAATGGGTTGCATGTGAAAAGTGTTCTAACTTGTCGTGTATTCCTTTTATTATCAATTATCACAAAACAATTGAATTCCTGTGCAAGGAGTGGGAATAGCTTTTATTTAGTGCGGCCGTGGCGCAGTGGTTAGAGCGCTTTTTTTATATGCAGAAAACCCAGGTTCGAAACGAGCTTTGGACATATCTCGCGTCACGGTAAGGAAGGAGGCGTGAACTTCCTGGTTAAATGTACTTCCGCGGTGCTCTGTGACAAGACCGTTAAGTCTTCTTGGGGCACCTAAATAACAAATAAATAAAAAAAATAAAAAACAAAAGTATTTTAATTTTTGTAGCTTGGCGTTTTAAAACAATATTTTTTGAATACAACAACTTTTTCATTATAGTTTTTTAAAAATTATCAAATCTGTACAGTACAGCTAGGGTTGCTACCTCTAAATAAATTAGTATTCATTTGGAGATAGCAACCGTAGCTGTACTGTACAGATTTGATAATTTACAGATATTAGACAAATACAGATTTATTGTTGCGATACTATTTAATAAAAACTAACTGCGATACTATTTAATGGAGAAGAATTATGGTGTGGTTATAATAATGGAAGGTTACACAGTAATAATTTTCAGTGAGCAAAAATAAGGGGTTACTGAACAATGTTTCAGTCTTTGAAAAAAGATAAGGGATAAAACTGCATTTCTGTATGATAAAAAAGCACTACAAGCTTCCTATTTGATTAATAGGGAGCATTTGTTAAGGCTGCAACCAACCTGATACTAATAACTGAGATTTCTTCTGGTTAACAATGGTTAACTGGCAGAAACAGGCAGTGACTGTGAAGGTTTTTTTTTTTCAACTGATTACAAAGAAATAATTGAAGACAGGATTTAATAAATTAAAGGATTCGATATGTACGTTCGAAATTAGGAACACGTATTCCTAATTCCGAACGAAAACCTGTATCATGGAGAAATCATATTGGACACATTGAACCAAAAATATTATCTGCAATAGATATTTTATATAAATGTGACCCGTTTCTTGATTTCTTTTCAAGAAAAAAACTTTACTTTAGTCTAATTCACATTTTACTAAAGTAAAGTAAAAAACTTTACTTTAGTCTATCTCACATATGCTAAGTATAGTATAGGCTAATACACACACACAAAAAAAAAAAATCGAACTTCAAGGCTTGCAAAATAATTAATTATCTAGGTAAAATAAACAATCATTCCAATGCGATGACAAATATGAAAGTCTTAAACTTGGAAAAACTTGATTTATATCAGATTCTTATTTTTATGTTCAAATATAAAAATAATATGCTACCAAATACTTTTTTAGACATATTTTCGTCATCATTTTCTCAAAGTTATAATCTGCAATCAAATAGCTTCCATTACTATTATATTAAAAAAACTAAAACACGGGGTTTTGAATTTTCAATTATGTCACAGGGTCCCAAAATATGGAAAAAATTGAAAAATCAAAAAGTAAAAGACTTTTTTACAATTTTACAATTTTTAAATTAGTAATGACAGGACTTGTCATTACTAATTCTTGTCATGAAGCCCTTTAACAATATATAGTTAATTTTTAATAAAAATACAATGTCTGTAGTGAAATAATAATAATACACCTTTATGCAAAAATATTTAAAAACCAAGATAAAATGTTAAAAATCCAAGATAAAATGTTAAACCAAATAATATACAAAATAAAACAACAACAACAACAACAACAAATAAAGCAATTAAAAATAAATCAAGGTATTTTCAATTGAAAATATAATTTTTTTAAGTTTCTGTTTGAATGAAGCAAAAGTCTGTTGGGTCGAAAAATCAAAATTTGGTAAGACTTTTTTGTTCCAGAGATAAGGACCTCAATAAGAAATAAAAAACTTTTATAATACATTTGGCGACAAATTTTCTTTTCATTTAAACATGAAACATAAAATATTAAAGACAATTAGTTGATATAGGGGAGAGTTGCCTTCATTGGAACACTTAAGGAATAAATATTTATTACCTAAAGATGGCTAAACTATGAAAACATATACTTTTAACCACAATTTGACTTAATTGATTGCACTGCTATTGGAAATAAATTTCTTTTTGAAAAGTTACCATTTTGTTCCAATCAACGCAACTAGTTCCCTAATTGGAACACTTTGATTCCTTAATCAAAACAGGTTATTTAAAAAAATAAAAAAAAACCCTACAAAATCAACAAAATTTGTATAATATGGTTTTCATCTTTACAGTGAAAATTTGAACCGTTAATTCAAAAACTATTATAGGATTAGTATTACCCTAACAAACTTAAAGTCTACAAACAAAAAATTGTATAAAGCTTCAACTATGATGACGTACTTTTAGTTTATTGATTAAAAATCACAAAATGAAGTAATATTTTTAAAGTTTATGGTTGTTACTAAGTATTTTTTTAATTGCAACGAACTATTTTCACAACCCTTAGACTTTATTACTGATTAGGTAAGGAAAATTTCAATATTCCAATCAAGGAAATTTTCGGCCATTTTGTTATATCACTACAACAACATG